ATGGACCTCACATATCTGAAAGTTATTAAATATATATTCGTACTTACTCTTTCCACAATTCCTATAGATGAAAAATAATTACTTTCTTACATTATAGTTACTAAAACATTTAATTGTACTAAGATATTTAAATATGCTATAAATTTAAATAATGAAATTTTCAAGTTTTTATTTCTAAAACTAAGAGCTCTAAACATTACTGAAATAACATTTAAATGACTATGTATACAATATCATAAATTGAATTCCTTTTCTTGACAATTTGCTTTTGATAAATTAATAAACAAAAATGTAAGGATTTAAATATGTAAATATACAAAATTTTATTTTTATTATTATATGTGTATATATATATATATATATATATATATATATATATATATATATATATATATATATATATATATATATATATATATATATATATAATATATTGATATTGATATTTTCTCGGATATTGAAAATACTGTCAAATTCATTTAATCAAATAATGAACTACGGTCTATCATAAGAAATAAATATTATTAAGGATTGTTGTGATGATTTTATATAAGGGCGAATGACAAAAAAACCAATCACATGGGACTTAAATGCATTTTGGTACAAAAAAAACAGTCTCTCTATTAAACTCATCCCATGTCTTTAGTCTAAAATACCCTACATAAAATAATACTTATCAATTCCACCAATTATTCTCTAACTTCATTAATATTACACATTGACCCCGAATTAAACAAATATATCACATTAACCCCCCTAAAATATTTTTTTCAGAAAATAATATTTTTTCTGAAATGTTTATTTTTCCGGCCAGATTCCGGCGTTGACTTTTATATATATTTCTTTGAAAACTTTTTTTTTTTCCTGAAATTTTTTTTCTGGCCGGTCAACCACCGTTGACCGTCGGTCTCCGGCGTTGATTAATATTACTATCTTGACTACTAAATTACTGTCTCAGACAGTAATATTACTGTCTGGGACAGTAATATTTTGAATATTGCCGAACAGTTATATTATTAATATTATTGTCTAAGACAGTTAAATTACTGTTGGAGACAATAATTTAGCAGCCAAGGCAGTAATATTAATTAAAATAATTTTTTTTAAGAAAAAAAAAAAAAAGAAGTCTATTAATAGTTAAATTACTGTCTCCGACAGTTAAATAACTGCTGGAGACAGTAATTTAGCAACGAATACAGTAGTATTAATTAAAAATATTTTTTTTAAGAATAGAAAAAGTCAATTAACAGTTAAATTACTGTCTCCGACAGTTAAATAACTGCTGGAGATAGTAATTTAGCAACGAATACAGTAATATTAATTATAATATTTAAAAAAAAATCAATTAACAGTTAAATTACTGTCTCCGACAGTCAAATAACTGCTGGAGACAGTAATTTAGTAGCAAAGACAATAATATTAATTAAAATATTTTTGAAGGAAAAAAAAAGTCAATTTACAGTTAAATTACTGTCTCCGACAGTTAAATAACTGCCGGAGACAGTAATTTAGCAGCCATAACAGTAATATTAATTAAAATATTTTTTTTAACAAAAAACAAAATTATAAAAAAAAAAACAAAAAAGTCAACGGCAGTTCACCGGCCGGAAAAAAATTATGTGGAAAAAAAGTTTTTCAAAAAAAAAAAAAGTCAACGCCGGAGACCGGCGGTCTCCGGTGGTAGCGGGTCAAAATTTGGGTCAATAATTGAAATTATGGTTAAAATTGGTTAATTAATGAAATTTGGCTAAATTGGGGGTGTAAATCATGAAATTGTAGTTGAATTGAGTTTTAATGAATTAGGAGTAATTTTGGTATATATAAAGGGATTTTCCTTATTTGCAAATAAGTTTGAATGAGCTGGATTTTTCTGAAAGACAAAAAAGTTGGACTGTCCCTC